ACTGCACTTCTTTTCCGGAATACCTTCGATAGCCCGGAAAAGCAATGCCACGTCCAAGGAACACGTTCTCTTTATCAGAATTTTTTTTGAAAAAGCAGACGTGTTCTTTCATCGTCCCTGTAAACCTTGTTTTATGAGGAAGAAGGGATGTGTTGAAAGAGGACTTTTTTCCAAAGTTTGGTGCCGTGTAAACTCGCCAAATTTCAGAAAAACCTCTTTCGACAGTAAAGCAGAAAAATATGTGCAATTTGCGTGCCACAAATTGGGTATCTTTTTCTGATTTAACTCTGCAGTCTAGACATAGCCTCAGAGAGAGAAAGAAAGAAAGAAAGAAAGAAAGAAAGAAAGAAAGTTTATACTAATCCCCCGCTCACCCACATAACTTCAAATAATAATAACTTCAGAATTGTTCTGACATACAATAAAATTACCCTGTGCCCATCATGATACTTTGCCTGACCCACATCTCCTGAATGAAAGCTAAGCATGTAGCAAAGTGCTTTCCAAAAACAAGGCCTCTGTGGTCATATAAAAGAGGAGCTACCTTAAATCTCCATTCTCTGGCTTTCTAAGGAACAATTTTTTGAGCTGTTGCAGGGATACTGTCCCTGGTCTTTGTTTGCCAGAGGCTGGGGTTAGACAATGGGATGGTTCACGTGAGTCTCTCCTGTTTTGTTCATTCCCACTGGAGCACCAGGCACTGGCCACTGTGGCAAGACAGTACACGGGGCTAGATAGGCCATTGGTCTGACTCATTCTTCTGCCGTACCTAGGAGTCATGGATCTGGCATCTATTGTGTGGTTCACACCTCGTGTGGGTCGCTGTTCCATGTAGTGGCACTTAGACCACTTACAGCGAGTGATCAGCGCAAGGGAGCTACACGGCCTAAGCTCTGAGTTAGTTGGTTTTGTTGCTCAAGCTATAGAGGCTCCGATACTAAGTTCTTGAGGTCCTAGGTTCAAATCCACCCAGTGGTGGTTACGCTATGTGCTGTCCAAGAGAGTTTAGTAGCTAAATATAAGACAAGTAAGGCCAGATGGATCTGATACAGATAGATGGGGGAATATAAGGAAACCTGTGAGACAGCAGTGGAAGAGAGGCTGTGTTCTGAACTCACCAGCAGCTAGCCATTGGGAAGATTTCTGTAGGCCTCATAACGGACGAGGTTTGTGGCGGAAGCTAACAAGTTGGTGGTTTACTGAGAGCTTCTCCCAGGGAGGAGGCCATTACAAGGGAGAAAGCAAAAAAGGTGAAAATGTCACAAGGGGGTGATGGCCAGTTAGAAACAAGTCAATCTCTTGACTTTGAAGGAGAACTTATAAGTTGCATGGGCGAGTCTCTGAGAAGGTCTTTGGAAGTGAAACAAAATAGAATCACAGAGACCAGGGGGAGGCCATTCCTGGCTAATTGCCATTGATGGACCTGACCTATCCTCCATGAATTTATCAAGCTTTTCTTGGAACCTGGTTAAAGTCCTGGCCTTCAGAACATCCCCTGGCAAGGAGTTCCACAGGTTGGCAGGGAGTTCCCGAGGTAAAAATGAGAAAGTCAACCATTTTCCAGTGCTTGTGTGGCTGTGACGCTTTTTTTTTTATACAATCAGACGATTGTATAAACAGGCAATTTTTAAGCAAGGTGAAACTTAGACAGGACAAATCATCCAGTCACTTGCAAAGGTTGAGCCACTGGTCAAATGTCATTTTGTCTCTGGAAACTAGCTACAGGTTGCACCTCTCTACTCCAGTACTCTCTGGTCTGGCAACCTCCATGGTCCGGCATGATTTTAGTAAACTGCATGTCCGTTTATTATGGGTGTGCCCAAGTTTCCAGTGGTCCCATAAAGTTTGTTTATAGCTGCCCGTCCTGGCTGTCAGGGTTCTGTGCTGGAATTTAGCTCTAATTCACCCCTAAATGTCCTATAACAGCCCAATAAGCAGTGGAAGTGTTGGCCATGCTGCTAGACAATACTGACCGCCTGTGGTCCGGAAAATTCTCTGGTTCAGCATCGGTCAGGTCCCGAGGATGCCGGGGGAGGTTCAACCTGTCCAAAGCTGACTTGGTCAAACAGAAGGAAAAAAGGCTTTCTTAAATCTTCTCATTTGTCCTTCGGTTTCAGCCCTCGAGATGATTTCTTTGGTCTTCTGGTTCATTTCACAGCCTGGTTTCAAGTGGTTGGCCCTGGCGTCCCTGTGGCTGCCATGGTGGGCGGGGAAATTATGCTTCCCTGTCACCTGTCCACGCCGATGAGCGCCGCGAGCATGGAGGTGCTGTGGTACCGCACTCAGCACTCTCCGTTTGTGCACCTGTATCTGAATGGGACAGACAACGCCCATGGCCAGATGCCAGAGTATCGTGGGAGGACGGAGCTCTCGAAGGCCGGGATGGCTAACGGAAGCGTCGCCTTGAGGCTACGTGGCATCCGCGCCTCTGATGAAGGACAGTACACGTGCTTTGTGCGGTCGAGTTCCTTTTACGCCGATGCCACGTTGGAATTGACAGTTGCAGGTTTGCACTTTTGTGGCTTTTCCCCACCGTCACTTCTATGTCAGTGCAAGACTACGGAACCTTCCAAAGGGGAGGGGCCCTGTCCTCTCTGTGGCCCCGCCCCTTCCTCTTCCCCTGAAGCCCCTCCCCCAGCCAAGCCAGAGGTTGGAGCCAAACCCATGTCCCCAGACATCTCCATCTGCCCAGGAAGGGGGAAACCGAGAGCAGCCGAATCCCCAGTGGAAGGGAGGCAGTCTCTAGCCCAGTGGCTCCCAACCTTTTTGAGCATACGGACCCCTTTTCAATCTATTCAAATTTCATGGACCCTCCCCTCCCTGGGGCTATGTCTACACTACAGAGATTTTCTGGGATACTGGGTATCCCAGAAAAACTTTGCCGTGTCCGAGGAACGCGTCTGCTTTTCCGAATTTTTTTTCAAAAGAGCAGACGTGTTTTTCTAGCCCAGTGGCTCCCAACCTTTTTGAGCATACGGACCCCTTTTCAATCTATTCAAATTTCATGGACCCTCCCCTCCCTGGGGCTATGTCTACACTACAGAGATTTTCTGGGATACTGGGTATCCCAGAAAAACTTTGCCGTGTCCGAGGAACGCGTCTGCTTTTCCGAATTTTTTTTCAAAAGAGCAGACGTGTTTTCTGTAAATCTGGTTTCATGAGGAAGAAGGGATGTGCCGAAAAAAGTTTTTTTCCCGACATTTGGCCGTGTAGACAGGCCAAATGTCAGAAGAGCCTCTTCTAACAAAAGAAGCAGAAAAAAGTACACCAATTGCAGTTCGCAATTGGCGTACCTTTTCCTGGAAGAACACCGCAGTGTAGACGCAGCCTGGGGAAGAAAAACAAAAAGAAAAGTAAGGATCCGCTTCTTTTTTAAACTTGCCACAGACCCCCTGCAGTACCATCGTGGACCACCAGGGGTCCACGTACCACAGGTTGGGAACCACTGATCTAGCCAATAAGAAAAGTTTCCAGCCTGCAGGTGTAAAGAAAGCCATGCGCTCCGTGAATTACATTTCTTTTTTTTCCCCTTTCTGGGATCACACAGATAGGAAGACAGAGCCCACACGCCAGCGTACACACTGCTGCTTTTCACAAGATAGCTTTTCACAAGAAATTCTTATAATTTCTTAAGTAACTATATCATCACATAATAAAAAATAAACATAAACATCCCCTTAACTCTGCCCCTAGATCCACACACTGCCAAGAGTTAGTTACATATTTATATCATAACTATAACTTATATCATAACTATAACTAACAGCAATTTTTTAAACCATTGCATACAAAGACAACATCCAACAGAAATGTCGATTCCATGAGCCCCACTTGGGGTGAATCTGTCCACCTGCGCGAGGAGACTCATTCCCTGTGGCAGTGAAGAGACACTCTTAAGAAATGGACTTGAACCAAATCACACAGAAAGTCTGGGACTAAGCAGAGCACTGAACATGATCACTGGTGTCCCAGACTAGAGCTCTGACCACGAGACCATCCTCTTCCCTTTTGATATTTGCATTTTTTTTCTCTCTCTCTTTCTTTTCTTTCTCTTTTTTCTTTTTTCCCTTGTTTCTCATTTTTTTCTTTTTTTTCTTTTTTCTTTTTTCTCTGTTGTCCTTTTCCCCTCTCTCTCTTTTCTCTCTCTCTCTCTCTTTCTGCTCTTTCTCTCTTTTCTTTTTTCTCTTTTTTTATCTCTTTCTCTTTTTTTTTCCTCCTACAGGGATGGGGGTGGGGCGGGTCCATGCCATTTTAATAGATTGAAAAGGGGTCCCTTATGCTCGAAACGTTTGGGAACCACTGCTCTAATCGTTCCTTTTGGCCCTAAAGTGCGTGCGCCTATGAGCTTGGGCGCTGTGATGCTGGGCGCAGATTGGCGAGATTGTTAACATTTTAGGCTTACATTTTCAAAAGTGCCTGTGAAAATCAGCCAGGCACGCTCACTGCTCTCAGACATGCATTGACATTATTGTGTATGCTGTTTTCTAGGTGTGGGCTCTTCCCCTTTCATCTCTGTTGAGGATTACCACTTAGGAGGGATCCGGGTGGTTTGTCGAACAGCAGGTTGGTACCCGGAGCCTGAGATGCTGTGGAAAGACCCTAGAGGGCAGCTTTTATTGCCACTCTCCGAAACAAAATCCAAAGGGGACAGCGGCCTGTTTGAAATACAAACTTCTATCATTGTAAAGAGGAACACGCACCAGAACTTGACATGTTGTGTACAGAGCCAGCGCCTCAACCAAGAAAAGGAAGCAACGATCCATATAGCAGGTCAGTAACTATCTAGTTCACTAAATGAAGGCTACCGAATGTTATAGTAAAAATGCCCCTATGCCAATGAATGTTACAATGAAATTAATAACCTGAAAAATGAAAATGTAGAAATAAATGTTTAAGGAAAGGCAGGTCAATGTATTCTGCAGATTTCTTATAATTTCTTAAGTAACTATATCATCACATAATAAAAAATAAATATAAACATCCCCTTAACTCTGCCCCTAGATCCACACACTGCCAAGAGTTAGTTACATATTTATATCATAACTATAACTTCAGCAATTTTTTTAAACCATTGCATACAAAGACAACATCCAACAGAAATGTCGATTCCATGAGCTTCTTTGCAGTAAATAAATAAAGTTCTCTACAACCTACACAGTATGGGTTTGATTCTTAAAGAGGTTCTGCACTCATCATCTGATTCCACTTCCAATAAAGCCATTGGAGGGTTTTACTACTGACTTCATCAGGAGATGAGTTAGGACAATGCTGGTTGCTTTTGAAAAGCGTAAGTTATGAGTCGAGTGCATTGAATACGGGGTGGGCGGGGTTGTGGTTCTGTACTTGGAGGTTGGGAGTCTCGAACTCACCGCTTGCTGATGTTTTAAATAAAAATGTTCAGAAAAATGGGATTTTTGTGTCTTGGAATTTGTTGACATTTTATTGAAAATGGATTTGGAGGGAGGGGTCACAATCTCAGAGCTTGTGCAGAAAACTGAATTTCAAATAAAGGACCAAAACCAGAAAGCCAAATTCCCAGGAACCCAAAATTAAAATTAAATTCCATACTCAATGTTTGCTTTTTTCAGGTTACTGTCAAAAATATATAATCTCAATTGATCATTTTTGCTTTTTTCAGGTTACTGTCAAAAATATATAAAGAGAGGTAGAAAGCAGATGTTCCTGATGGGAGCAAAATGGCAAAAATTCAACTTTCCATCCGGGAAAAGGTTTCGTGGAAATTTTCCGAGCAGCCCCAGAAAACAAATTTGAATGTTGTCTCTTCATACAAACTAATGAGAGCCTTGGGCATTTGTTTTTCAGATTCCTTTTTCCCAAGGGTCTCTCCTGAAGTGGTATGTCTGTATCTGCTCCTGTCGATTTTGTTCTTCTCTGTACTTGCTCTTTGTGTTCTTAAAAGAAAAGGTAAATAAATTAAAAAGGGGGAAATATGGCATGCATTGAAAGAGATATTCATCTGACAATATGTTTTAGAAAGACAGAGGTACAGATCAGAAAGGGAGGCAGTAGACTGACAATGGTACTAAACCAAAGCTTCCTGAAGTTTGTGCGAATTGTTTGATTGTTTTCGGTGCCCGTTGGATCAGGTCACTGGATCAGACCACTTCAGATGTGCAGGCAAATTTAGTTCCTTCCATGTACAGATCTATCCTCCATGAATTTATCTAACTCTTTTTTGAACCCTGTTATAGTTTTGGCCCTCACAACATCCTCTGGCAAGGAGTTCCACAGGTTGACTCTGTGTTGTGTGAAGAAATACTTCCTCTTGTTTGTTTTAAAGCTGGTACCTTTTTTCAGGGGTGGGGTTGGTTTTTATCCATTTCCTGATTCAAATAAACTGTTAGGGTAAAAAAGTCGGGGTTGAAACAATCCCATGTCCTTTTTCTGCACTTTATAAATTTTAAAAAAATGGCTTTTTCCTGTGCAGAAGGAAACTGTCAAAATTTAAGCTAGTGCTAGTAAACAACATTGGAAAAAAATCACGTAAAATGATCAACATCCATATTAAAATGGTTTAAAATGATCCAAGTGAAATGTTTTGATGGACAAAAAATGCATGTATTTATTTTTTATATTTTCTTTGGGGTTTTTTTTTTGACCGTTTGGCTTCTTGTCCTTGTTCTAGACAAGGATTTTTTTTTCATAATCTCAACTTTTTTTTCTAGCTGGATTTTCAAAAGTGCTTGGTTTTCACTGAAAACCTCTCACGAGGGCCTTGATTTTATTCCTGTTGGATTCAAAGGCAAAATTCCAATTGATTGTCACGGTGCAGAATCAGACTGTAGAAGCCAGATTTTCAAAGGCATTCAGGGTATGTCTACACTACCACCCTAGTTCGAACTAGGGTGGTAATGTAGACATACCCTCAGATGCCTAAACATGCAGAGAGGCACTAGAGGAGTTCCCGCGAGCTCCTAAACTAGCTAGGCCCAGTATAATCAATTAGAATTAGGCCCTTCATCTGCTTAGGTGCTGTTGAAAATCCCATGAATACCTCGCCATATCTCTAGGAGATGGTGGGGAGGGTGTGGGAACTCAAGTCAAGGTGTGTCGACTCCAGCGATGTAATTAACGTAGTGGGAGTTGCATATTTTAATTCAACCTTCCCCTTTAGTATAGACCTGGCCTCAGGTCGAATTTTTGCAGCATCCTCACTGTGGGAGGTCAAACTTTCCCGTCGACTTCCCTTATTCCTGACCTGGTGGAGTACTGGGATCAACTGAGGCATCATCAGTGTTCAATGTAGCGAGTCCTTACTAGACCCGCTAAATTGAACCCTGAGTGATCCATCTCTGGTGATCTTGGGGTAAATGAAGACAAGCCCTTTGTACAGGGGTGGGCAATAATTTTTTATTTGGGCCACTCTAAGATTTTTTAAAGTGGTCAAGGGCCGTACTCTTCCAGGACATTAATGGAATTCTGGGGTCTGGGATGGAGTTTGTTTTCATAAGGGAGCTTGGGGGAAGGGATTGGGGTACAGGAGGGAGAATGGGGTCTGGGAGGGAGTTTGGGCGAAGGAGGTGGTTGTGACCTAGGGCAGGGGACTGGGGTGCAGGGTTTTGGGATATGACCTAGAGTAGGAGGGGGTAGGAGGGGATTGTGATCTGGCCAGGGAGTTGGGGTGCCAGATTTGGGAGGGGGTATGTGTGCAGGAGGGGGCAGAGGATTTGGATATATGCAGGGCAGCAGAGGATTGGAGAAGGGGGGGTTGGGGTGCCAGAGGCAGGCTCAGACTGGGAGACGCTTACCTGCAGAAACCTGAAGCAGACTGTGTGTTATAGGCTGCTTGCTGCTCCAAATGGTTCTGCTCCGGGAGGGGGAGAGGGTCGAGGAGGGAGGGAGAAGGCTTCCCACGATGTCCATGCTCCCAGCAAAAATTCTCAGCTCCTATTGGCCAGAAACTGAGAGATTGGCCAATGGGAGCTAAGAGTTTTTGCTGGGGGGTGGGCACAGCTTGAGAAGTCTCCCTCCTCCCTTCCCCAGCTGTTGGAAACAGAGAACAGCTGGCTTTTTAAAGTGTGAGCTGATCTCTGCCTGCAGGATCCGGCAAGGCGGCCGCGGGCCGGATCTGGTGGCGTGGCAGACCAGATCCAGCTTGCTGGCAGCCTCTTGCTCACTCCTGCCTTAGTAGGAGCAAAGCCCTTTTGAAACACTGGTCTCCATTATGGGTGTTGAGCCCTTTGGAAAAGCTGCCTCTTTTTTAAGCCTAGCAAACACATCTGTGGACAATGAGAAATGTCGCCTAAAAAGGTCGTCGGATATAGTTATCCGTGACCAAAGCCGGGTGTTTGCAACGCAGTGTAATCAGAGTAGTTCAGTATAAAAAAAAGTGACGAATGACTCAGGAGGTGGAAATGAATAGACAGAATATACGGTCCTTGAAGCGCAGATGCATTTGAGAAACCAGCTCCTGTGATTAAACCACGTAACAGTGGCCTTGTGTTGATTTATTTTTCAGGGAAGCTTGTTCTGGAAATCGGTAAGTCTCATTCGCTTTTCCCACCAGTAAAGCGCTTTGCACAGAGTCGGAGCCGCAGGAAAGTATTTGCCGGCATGAGGGTGAAGATGCTGGGCGGGGAAAATCCAGGGGAGAGGCCGGAAATGAGAACGCTGCTACGACAGGGGCTGATGCGCACGGGCTCCTAGGGGTTGTCTTCGCCGCGGGGTGAACTCAAACCCAGGGGAGTGAGCCGTCAGGGCACAAAACCAGACCAGAGTTACTGGGTCTCAGGGCCGGCCCACACCATTTTGGCACCTGAGGCGGGGAGCTCAATTGCAGCCCCCGTGTCCCCTCGCTTGGGCCAGAACTTTGCAAGGTCTCAATTCTGCCGTCTTCCTGTTCTACTCCTCTCCTGGGATTGCTCTTCTGCTTACTGCTGCACGAGCAGCAGACACAATTTTCTACACTCTGGGTGTGTCTAGACTACATGCCTCCGTCGACGGAGGCATGTAGATTAGACAGATCGGCAGAGCGGGGCCGCCATTTAAATTTAAATGAAGCCGCGCTTATTTTAATCGCGGCTTCATTTCCCTCTGCCGATCTGTCTAATCTACATGCCTCCGTCGACGGAGGCATGTAGATTAGACAGATCGGCAGAGCGGGGCCGCCATTTAAATTTAAATGAAGCCGCGCTTATTTTAATCGCGGCTTCATTTCCCTCTGCCGATCTGTCTAATCTACATGCCTCCGTCGACGGAGGCATGTAGATTAGACAGATCGGCAGAGCGGGGCCGCCATTTAAATTTAAATGAAGCCGCGCTTATTTTAATCGCGGCTTCATTTCCCTCTGCCGATCTGTCTAATCTACATGCCTCCGTCGACGGAGGCATGTAGATTAGACAGATCGGCAGAGCGGGGCCGCCATTTAAATTTAAATGAAGCCGCGCTTATTTTAATCGCGGCTTCATTTCCCTCTGCCGATCTGTCTAATCTACATGCCTCCGTCGACGGAGGCATGTCGTTTAGACGTACCCTCTGGGTCCTAGTTGAAACAAAAAACAGGACTATGCAGCACTTTAAAGACTAACAAGCTGGTTTATTAGGGGATGAGCTTTCGTGGGCCAGACCCACTTCCTCAGATCAAGTAGTGGAAGAAAATTGTGTCCTAGTGCCCCCCCATCACAGTCTGGCAGCCGCCTCAGTTCTCCTCATGGTAAGGCCAGTCCTGCTGGGTCCCCACGGGAACGGCAGTCCCGCTGGGGTGTCACTAGGGCTTCCACGCCCCACGATGCTTTGTGGCGTGGGAAGCTGAGCCCCTCTAGGGTTCTTTCCCCATGAACTGTGGGGGAAACGGGGAAGCAGGGCCAAAGCATTTGGAGGACAATGGGACCGCGAGTGAGTTAACCTGTGTGCCCCGTTGCCTCCTTCCTGCCCCAGGGTAGTGCCCCATCCCCCCCCAGCCCGGAGTCCTCTGACAAACAGAGGCTCGGGACCCCATTCCTACCCATCCTGGCTAATAGCCATTGTATGGGCCGAACCTTCGTGAATCGATCTGTAGTCTTTTGGCTCCCTGTTAAAGTCTTGAGGAAACTCACCTCTGCTTCTGGGTTTGCTTTCAGGGTGGAGAAAGGCCCTGGCTCAAGCCGGTGAGTACGGACCCTTTCCCCCATCCGTTCGGAAGCCTGACAGCCCTTGGGTGACTCGGGGAGGGAGCGTTCGGCCGGGGGTGGCCAGCGGGGGGGCGGGCGGGATGGAATGCCCCCGGGTCCTGTGAGCTGGGTCAATTCCGTCGCACCGTTTCTCGAACGCTAGGCAATGTTCCCCGGTCGACGCCGTGACAGACAGGCCCGGAACCCAGTCAGAATCCTCGAACGCTAGACTAGAAGGGACCTCGCGAGGTCAGGAAGTCCAGCCCCCCAGCCTTGTTAGGTTATGGCCTATTTCAGTCTCTGGCAACCTGTAGCTTGTGGGACACATGGGGGCCCATCGGGGTTCTCTCTCTCGAACGCTAGGCAATGTTCCCCGGTCGACGCCGTGACAGACAGGCCCGGAACCCAGTCAGAATCCTCGAACGCTAGACTAGAAGGGACCTCGCGAGGTCAGGAAGTCCAGCCCCCCAGCCTTGTTAGGTTATGGCCTATTTCAGTCTCTGGCAACCTGTAGCTTGTGGGACACATGGGGGCCCATCGGGGTTCTCTCTGTGGCCTGCAGGACACTTTGTTTCCTGCTGCCCACGCACAGGGCTGCCCCGTTTTGTTGGTTTCCATCTGCATCTTTTTTTTAGGTCCTGGTGTTGCTAAAGTGACGCACACGTGAAGGGAGGGGAGCGTGCTGATTGCACAGAAAATTGACAGCGAGAGCCGTGCGCTCCTTCTGCGGCCAAGCCAAGGGGGAGGAAAGGGGGCAGATGCCCTGAGGCCCAGTGATTCAAAAAGACCTGGGGCTCCCAGCTGCTGCCACCAAAGCAGAGGTGGCGGCCAGAGCATCTGGCCCTTTAAATCTCCGCTGGAGTGCCGTGCGACGGGCTCCGGGTGGCTCTTTCCCATCCTGCCTTTCTTCTGAAACGCTCTGGCACAATAGACGCCGGGGCTGGGCTCCGGACACTGTCATTTCTGCCCACGGCAGATGTGTTCATTCCCAATCCTGTCAGATTCTCTGCGGCCATGTGTGCGCCGCTGGTGGAGGACTGGAGGCTCTCCAAGAAGTGACATGCCAGGAAGAGCATGTTTCAGTGGGGAAGTCCAGTCCTGGGGCAGCGGGGGACGCGAGGCGATTTCTATGTGGGAGGCAGCACTGCGAGGTAGGGGTGCGTGGAATCAATCAACAGCGAGTGGTGGGAATTCAGTTCCCATAAATCCATCGGGGCTCCCGAGGTGTTCCCTGTAAGCCACCCAGAAGAGAGTCCAGTGCTCCCCACTGATTAGCAGTGTACCCACCGCCGCCAGCAGGTGTTTGATTGGGTGGTGCCCATGTATACATGCCTTGGTGCAGGGAACAAAATTTATTCTGCACACGAGTGGAGAAAATGACCTAGTGATACGAGTCTCTAGCTTAGCCCTGGGCGGAGGTGAGTTCAGAAAGGGAATGAGGATGAGTTTCAGGTCTGACCCATCCAGTCCTTTCATCCGTGCCCCATCTCTGCCAGAAGAGATTGTCCCTGCTTTTCATGGGTGGTGGGTGAATGCCCACCTGGGGAAGGCAAGACGAAGCCCCGCCCCTTCCACCCAAAGCCCCGCCCCTTCCTCCTGAGACCAGGCCCTTTCAACAACCCCAGCCCAGCCATGCCCCGCCCACCCCAGCTGCCTGCCATGCAGAGTGGTCTAAGCCCCTCCTGGGTGGCTGGGCAGAGTAGGCAGTTTTGGGAAGCCAATGCCTTTCCTTGCCTCCATTAACCGCTGCCCATGCTGCCTTGTGCTGAGAGCTTGGATCTGGGATGATAGAACCCTCCCCCGGGGCCGAGCCCGGCCTCTAAGAGGCCAATTCTCTCTCTCCCCCCATGCAGCGAAGGTGACTCTGGATGCAGAGACGGCGCATCCCGAACTCGTCGTGCACCAGGATCGGAAAAGTGTGAGGCTGGGCAGCGAGCGGCAAAATCTGCCTGACGTCCCCCAGCGGTTTGATACGTTTCGCTGTGTGCTGGGCCGGGAGGGATTCACCGCTGGGAGGCATTACTGGGAGGTGGAGGTGGGCCCCGGGGGGCGCTGGTGGGCCGTGGGGGTGGTCAAAGAATCGGTGGCAAGGAAGGGCTGGCACAAATGGACTTCTGCGATGGGGATCTGGGCGGTGCAGCACCGGGGGAGCTTTTTACAGGCCTACACCAACCCTGTGACGCGCCTGACGGTGAACGGGAACCCCAGGAAAATCCGGATTTCTCTGGACTACGAAGGAGGGCAGGTGGCGTTTTTCAATGCAGAGAAGAACACGCCCATCTTCTCCTTCCCCACGGCTTCTTTCCACGGGGAGAAACTCTTCCCCTTCTTCTGGGTTGGGGACACAGGCTCCGAGCTCACATTATTCCCCTAAGAAACGTGGCGTCTCCTAGTCTTTTTTGGGCCACCCCGAAGCTGCATGAGATTGATACGAATGTCAAAGGATCTGTTCTTGCACCCGTTGGACCGATGGCAGCGTGCTGAGTTTTGCCCTGCGTCCTGAGTTTACATCATTTAACCCACTGGTCGGGGCATTCCAGGTCATGCTCTGTACTGATCCACCGAGGTTGGGAGATGGTTCTAGCCCCAGCTGTGGAGCTGAAAGACTGTTAGTTCTAGTGGGTCCCCCTTTCTGGACCCTGGAGGGGCAAGGCTGGACCAGCAGTGATCACACAATAGGCTGTAGGGTTGGTCTGACATTTTCTGCCAAACCAGTGTTGCTGGGACACGCTGCTTCGGGAATTCATGCGAGAGTCAAAGGATCTGTTCTTGCACAGATTGGACTGATGGCCGCATCCTGAGTTTTGCCCTGTGTCCTGAGTTTACATCATTTAACCCACTGGTCGGGGCATTCCAGGTCATGTTCCGTACTGATCCACCGAGGTTGGGAGATGGTTCTAGCCCCAGCTGTGGAGCTGAAAGACTGTTAGTTCTAGTGGGTCCCCCTTTCTGGACCCTGGAGGGGCAAGGCTGGACCAGCAGTGATCACACAATAGGCTGTAGGGTTGGTCTGACATTTTCTGCCAAACCAGTGTTGCTGGGACACGCTGCTTCGCGGAGCCCGCAAACGTCCCAAGACCGTGTTCGGGAGGAGAGACTTTAGCTCAATCGCAAGCAGGATTCTGACGGAAAGTGCTGGCCAGCTCAGAGGGTTGGCTGCTGGGCAGTCCATCACTTTGGAAGATCCACAACTCCAAGGCCACCCCACCCCATAGCCCCAAAACAGGGGAGTCATTTCAGATTTTTGGCGGTTCCAGAGACTACCTAGGCACCTGAAAACTCTGGGGGGAGGGAGGGCAGATAAATTAGCTGCCCGGACCACTGGTGCTAATTCCCACTGGAAGAAAGCAAAACATGATATGCAGACACCAGCTGAAGCCACAGTGGAAGGGTACGTGGAAGTTTAGAACCATCAGGAGATAATGCGAGACCATATCAAACGCCTTAATCTTACTGAAGTCAAGAGATACCACATCTACCAGTTCCCTGCATCCACGGGGCTTGGTATCCTGTTCAAAGAAAGCTATCCGGCTGGTTTGACATGATTTGTTCTTGATAAATTTGTGCTGGCTGTGATTTAGCACCTTAGTGTCTTCTAGGCGCCTGCAACTTGATTGCTGGGTTGTTTACAAGGAAACTCACTCCTGTTGATGTGATGACTGAACAACGCTGGCACCCTTCACGAACTACGAAGGAATAAAATGGCAGAGACTACATGCGCCTTGGCATTTTGACAGCCAGTACCAAGAAGTAACAACAAAAGCACAAGTGTGTGTGTGTGTGTGTGTGTGTGTGTG